CCACACTAAAGGGATGGTTGTCCTGACAGCTGCTCAATAATCTGAGCTCTTAAATAGACACATTGAGACAATGAGGCTAAAGACTGATTAGTTTACAGGCCCTATGATCCTCAGCTCACACAGAAACACAACATTGTATAAATATTATAAAAACAAATACATTTTAGATAGATAGATAGATAGATAGATAGATAACACTTGAAATAATAAAATAGAAGCTGAATACACAAATTTGAAAAAAGACAATATGCACATGCACAAGGAGGTAGTAGACTACTACATTTATGATTAGTATACACATCTAAGCATACATATAGGCCTATATATGCACATGTAAATATATACATACGCATAAGTAGCATGCAGTAAAAGCATAACATTAACTGTAAACGGTTCAAAATATCCTAATGCATGCTCAATAATCCAGGTAGAAAAATCTAAAAAAGTTAAGTCTGGTCCTCTGGACATTCAAAAAAACAAAACAAAACAAAAAAATTGTAGAAACGTTTCGCCTTTCATCCGAAAGACTTCTTCAGTCAGAGTGAAGAAGTCTTTCGGATGAAAGACGAAACGTTTCGACAATTTTTTTTTGTTTTGCTTCGATTTTTGAATGTCCAGAGGACCAGACTTAACGTTTATTCGGTCTACAGCATGGAGTGCACTGTATTAGTGTGAAAAGTAGCTTACAGTTGTTCTTGTTCCTTTATTGAATAAATTTAGACCAAAACATGAACACTTAAATATAGAAACAGCCTCCAGAACACAAAAGGCACAATAATGAATAGTGACTTATGCAACCACACAGACACACGCGCGCGAACACGCACAAACACACACACACACAGTCAGATTCAAGCACAAATCAGACATGTTTTCCTCTTATTCCTCAGCAGCAGTGCAGTCAGCTGCGAGTCACGTGACTGGCTTGCCTAGTCTCACTGAGCATGCGCAGACCCCTCAGTGTTGTCAGGCAAAATATAAGGGAGCCAGCAGTAAAAGCCGAGATCTGCAATAGATAAACACACAGACTCGCACACACACACCGGCTGACGCGCGCATGCACCCACGCACACACTCACCGCAAGCATCAATAGGAAGACGCTCCAGAACTGTGACGACTGTGCTCGGATTTCTTTCTTTAGGTTTTGTGTTTCAATACGTTTTTTTTTTCATCTATTTTTTTTTCCAGTGGGGGGAGAAAGAAAGAGAGAGAGAGGGAGAGAGGGAGAGAGAGAAGTACGTCCTTTAAGAGGGGGGAGCAGCATTTGAGGCAAGGACAGCATCCCATTCTCCATCCTCTCTGGAGGTAAGTGTGGATGCGGTGGGGGTGCAGAGCCGAGGGTGGGGGCGATCCGCCCGAGTGCATTTGTGTTAAACCGTCATCTGAGCAGGAGGAATGGCGAATATGTATTTGTGCCTCTGCGTTTGTTTGCATGCAGCGGTGTTGGGGGGCGTGGGGGGGGTGGATGGGGCCATTTGTCGGTGACTATTGGTATGTGAGACGACAGAGGCCAGGGAAGTTCAGGGGGGGTCAGATGCTAGCAGGATGGAGAACATGGCAGCAGGAGCGTAGAGAAAGGATCAGCTGAGGAGGACGGCGACATGCTGGGGGG